CTCTAGCGGATATCACTCGGCACTGGCATCATCTTCACGTTTCTGCGACACACACACACACACACACACACGCACGCACGCACGCAAAACACGCACGCAAAACACACGGACGTACATGACCAGGCGTTGGCAACAGCGAAAGTACACTGTTGCTCGAAAAGCACAAAGATCGCTCCAATCACGAGAAGTGCCACCGCACGGCAAGTGGTGGTGCTTGGCTGTCGTCTCACCAAGGGCTCAACCACCTTCACCCCCAGCAGGCGCGCAACCCTATCAACGACACCTTTCCCCACATCTCCCCCAGCTCCAGCTTCCTCTCGCATCTTCTCCTGGCTCATCCTCATCGCTCCGGTGCTTGCGTATGTCTGGGATGTGATGCCACGGTGACGCCAACTGCTGCCACTGATCTCCACCAGCAGCACACCCAAACAACAACAACTGTCCTCCCATTTTTTGTGCTGTTGTGCGCTGTTGTTTGTTTTGCCTTTTGCCACCCACCCACGACAACCACAACCACGACAACCCACCCACGTACAAAACCACCACGATGAAGGAGTTCAAGGTGTGCCTGCTTGGATCAGGCAGCGTGGGCAAGTCTGCGTTGGCGATTCAGTTCACAGAGGACCGATTCGTCCAGAGCTACGACCCAACAGGCACGGTGTTGTGTTGTTGTGGTTGTGGTTGTGGTTGTGTTGTGTTGTGGTTGTGGTTGTGGTTGTGGTTGTGGTTGTGGTTGTGGTTGTGGTTGTGGTTGTGGTTGTGGTTGTGGTTGTGGTTGTGGTTGTGGTTGTGGTTGTGGTTGTGGTTGTGTTGTGTTGTGGTTGTGTTGTGGTTGTGTTGTGTTGAGTCACACGTGTGAACGCCCCCTCCACCCGTCTGCCTGACATGCGTTTGTGTATCCTCACATCGTCCCTCATCCACTCCCCTCTGTTACCCCTCTTGCTTTCTCCAGTGGAAGACTGCTACCGGAAACAAGTGACCTTCAACGATGAGCCTGTCATGCTGGAGATTATCGACACAGGTGCGAGAAGAAGACACCTTTGCCGGCAACAGCAACACACACACACACACACATACGCACACAAGCTGTGTGCTTTCTTTGTGTTTTGCTCCACTGTCTGGTTCCATGCCCATTGCTCTCACCTTCACGTACACTTGCTGTGGTGTGCAGCCGGAACAGAGCAGTTCACCTCCATGGTGGAGATTTACATCAAGAACTGCCAGGTGCGCCCTTGCAGTCTTGTGCAGTTGGCAGTGCACGCGCATGCGCATGTGTGTGCTGTGTGTGTGTGTGTGTGTGTGTGTGTGTGTGTGTGTGTGTGTGTGTGTGTGTGTGTGTGTGTGCTGTGCGTGTGTGTGTGCTGTGCGTGTGTGTGTGTGTGCTGTGCAATTACCGTGTGCATGTGTACATACTTGGTTGCACGTGCCTTTCCTCGACTGCGCTTGACGAAAGTTGTGCCTTTCATGCGTGCTTCATATCTGCTCATCACTGCTGTCCTGTGTTGTAGGGCTTCATCTTGGTGTATGATGTGACGAAGAAGTCAACCTTCGACGACTTGGAAGCCATCAAAGATAAGGTACAGATAAGGCTCGTCCGCCCTGTGCTCTGTCAATATGACCCACGCCTGCTACCATTACCCACGCCATACTGCTCTTTTTTTTCTCACGCCACCGCAACTGCTGCGCCTGCTATCACCGCTCACCCCAACATAAACACACACACACACACACACACGCATACATGCACACACATGCACACATGCACACACACACACACACACACACACAAACACATACACACGCGCGCGCGCACATTTTTTTGCAGGTGTGGCAGACAAAGAAGGCCACAAAGAAGAGGCCGCCACCAATGTTGGTTGTAGGGAACAAAGTGGACGTGGATGGACGCGAGGTCTTGTTTGCAACGGGGCATGGCCGCGCAAAGGAGTGGAAGGCGACGTTCCTCGAGACATCGGCAAAGACCAGGGTAGGCACAGACGCCGGACCGGCCGCTGCTCTCTGATTCTCGTTGACTTGCACATCACCTCCATCAGTGTCAGCCTTCTGCATATCAATCTGTGTCACACTCGCTCACACACACACACACACACACACACACACACACACACACACACACACACACACACACACACACACACACACACACACACACACACACACACACACACACACACACACGCACACTGTGTCTCTCTTTTCTTCTCTTCATGAACAGACAAACGTGGAGGATGCGTTCCAAGGAATGGTGCAGAAGTTGGCGCAGGGAAACAAGGGTGGCTGTACTCTGCTGTAGTTCACAGACACCCATCTCGACCCAACAAAAGCCATCATCATCATTCATCATTCATTGGCAAACCCCCCTACTCTTGCGTGCGTGCGCCTGTTCTTGCTTCCCCCTCTTCCCTTTTTTTTTTTTTTTCCGATGCTTCTGACCCTCAAGACCGCAACGGGTGCACCACATGCATGTATGTTGAACACCCTTCACGTCCCCCCCCCCTCCGTGTTTACATGTGTGAAGCTTGCCGTTCCTGTTTTTGTGTTGTGTGCTTTCTCTTTCTCTCGCTGATTACGAACACAAAGCAAAAAGTCCAACAAAGCACAGCCATCAGAGTACATGCACAACACATGGGAAACTCATCACACACCAGCCGTGTGTGGGGTGAAGAGAAGGAAACGACACAGCCTAGGGTTCACAGTAACTGCGCCAACTGGCTGTTTTGAAACTCCCAACAAACACCCAGGTTGTCAAACAACTCAACCACAACACAACCATGTCAAACCAGTAAACACACAAACCTTTCAGCTAACACCCACACACCCACACACCCACACCCACACCCACACCCACACACACGCACGCTAGGCAACGACGCCTGTGAGCGAGGAGCACATGAGGGCAACGCCGCGGCGGTAAAACACCTGCGGATCATCCACCCCCTGCGGCTGAAACTGCACCACCGCAATCAGGTTGGCGCGCGTCACGTTCAGGTACAGCGGTATCTGCACCGAGGTGGGCAGGTCTGTCTCGCCCTCCTTCGTGTACACCCAGCGCACGATCGTGAGCGCGTGGTTGGTGAACGGCGTCTCCTCAAGATGCACGGTGCGGTTCTTGCACGCCGCGCCCTCGATCCGCAGGGCCGTCACAAAGAAGCTGTTTTCAACATCGCTCGGCACGTCCTTCTCCGACGCGCGCACATCCAGCGCAAGGGTGAGTGCTTCGAGCGGCCAGCTGTTGCGCTGCGCAACGGCCTGGCGCGTTGCGGTGATAAACGCCTCTGGCACAAACAGGCCGCCAATCCACACGCGGAAGGAGTCCAGGGACGCGCCGCGCTCCATGTGTTGCGCAATCTCATGCAGCTGCTTCACGCGCAGGGAGAAGTCGGCAATCCACAGCGTCACGGGCATGCCCTCAGGCACCTTGTAGCGGAGCCACGTCTTGTACACCGTGCCTGCAGCACGCGCGGGGATTTGGGAAAGGGTGGTGGTGTGAGAAGGAGCGAAGAGGGCGGCATGAAACAATTCGAGTGGGACCACATACGCAGCAGGAAAACAGGAAGACGAATACACACACGCACACACACACGCACACACGCACACCCACACACCGACACACACACATCGACACACACACACACACACACATCGACACACACACACACACACACACCTTGTACGAGGGTGTGCATGAGGTTTCTCATGTGGTTGGTCTGCTTGATTTCGCCCTCGCAGCACTGGATGACGTTCTGCAAGTCTGTGCGCACTTGCTTGAGCAGGCTCACGCCAATGGTCGTCTCGCGCTCGTAGAAACGGAACATCGGGTCCTTGATAGACGCCTCTGTGCGCTTGAGGTTGTGCAGCGTGGTGGGCAAGATGCCCAGCCACTGGTTGGCCTGCTCCTGCAACTGCCGCATCCACGCAGCCGTTGATGCTGCGCCTTCATCGGCAAGCTCGCCAAGGTCCGCAGTCACGTCTGTCGTCGTCTGTGGGTTGGGGCGAGGGGGAGGGTCGAAGTGCCGAAGGTGGTGAGGGTTGCGCAGTTGAGAATGTGATTCACAGAAGACACAAACGAGATGGAAACCGAAGCTGTCGCCCACAATCACAATCACACACACGGACACGGACACAGACACAATCACACACGCACGCACGCACAAACGCACACACACACACACACACACACGCGCGCGCACACACACACATAGACACACACATCCCCTCCCCACACACAGCCTGCAGTGCGCATACCTGGAGCTTCATGGTGTTTACTGTGAGCATCTTGGCACGGTTGGTGAGGAGAACAACCTCTGCGTTGGCGGGGAGACCGAGCCACGTCGGCAGCTGTCCATCCGGCAGCGAATCGGCCCAGTGCAGCAGCTCCGTGCGTGTGGTCCCCTTTGGCGGCTTGATGGCAGACACGTTCGAGTCCTTGCCCGCCTCCACAAAGCAGAACTTGGGAGAGAAGCTGCAGACGGTCGCGCGGGTGTGTGTGTGTGAATGTGGGTGTGAATGTGGGTGTGAATGTGAATGGGTGAAGTGTGAGTGAATGAGACTGCAGCACACGTTGCAGGCTCAAACGACGAAACCTCATCTCAACATCGACAAACATGTCGACGCAGCAACGCCATGTGTCGCCCACCTCTTCTGTGTAAAGAACTGGTCGACAAAGGCATCGAGGAGGCGCTGGTCAATCTCGTTATCGATGCGACCGCCGTACACAGACTTGGACAGCAGCGTCCGCATCGCCTCCCACGGCAGGTCCGCCGCATCCACGCTTGCCCTGTCCAGGGTGGTGCGAGGTTGAGACGGGACAACGCGCAATTGCATGGGCAAGGATGGTGTGAGTGGTGGATGCCTGGCAACGGCCAATCAGACGACCTCAACACAAACAGGAACAAAGCAACAATACAAGCAGAAACAGCAGCAGCAACAACGGCGACGACAATAACAACTTAAACAACAACAATCTAAACAACAACAACAACAACAACAACTTAAACAACAACAACAACAACAACTTAAACAACAACATCATCATCATCAACAACAACAACAACAACAACAACTTAAACAACAACAACTTAAACAACAACAACTTAAACAACAACAACAACAACCTTCCAGCTCAAAAACCAACATCTCCTCCCCACGTGTCCAAAAACGTACTGTCCGTTGGAGGTGCGATCAATCCACTTGTCGATGGTGTCAGCGGAGGTGCGCAGGTCCGGCTCGCCAAACTCGTAGCGCTTCGACCAGCCGAGCGGCGCATACCGCAGGCGCTCCTGCGTCACGGCGTGGAACCAGGCCAGCAGCAGGTACACCATGCCGCGCTGCTTGGGGGCGGCGTCGACGCGGTCGTGGAAGTTGAGTAGCGTTCGCTTGACCGACGCCTTCACGCCCGCCGCGGCCTCGTACAGGAACACGCGGGCAGCGCGGATCATGTTGATGGGCAGCTTGGGGCTGATCTCCGAGGTGAGGAAGAGGCGGAAGTCCGGGTGCGGCGTTGTGGACGTAAGCTTCTTCTCAACCACGGTCAGCAAGTCTGGCGCGAGGTGCACGTTCTTCAGCATGACCCAGCGGCCGGAGGAGATGCCCGCCGTCACAGCAGCAATCGCCTCCCGTCGCGCCTGCACAGAAGCATGGAATGAGGAGGAAATGAGAGGAGGGGAGCGGGACGAGTGTGATGAGAAGGGGTGAAGGGGTTGAATTGGGTTTGAGGCTTGAAGTGAGACACCAAGGGTTCATGAACAACGCATGAAAGCGTCACAAACAACATCGATCAAGCAACGCACACACATGCAGCATGGATACACCCAAACACACACACACACACACACACACACACACACACACACACACACACACACACACACACACACACACACACACACACACACACACAC